GCGGGCACAGAAACCCCATCATTGCATGTATTATTCTATTTTTTTAAAAAAATCATATTTATTAAAGTTTCCACAAAAAATACAAAAAAGAAAAAGAAAAAAGAATAAAATACACTTGAACTTTACTTTCATAACCTTCTTTCTGGGACTCCCCCTCCCCCTCCCAGATTGTTTTCCCCTTTCATTAATTTGTTTCAACAAGCTCTTATTCCCAGTTTAAAACTTAATTTGTTTAACCCACCATTTCAATTTATTTATACAGTCATTCCAATATCCCTTATCATTAACAAAGAAAAAAGAAAAAAAAATTTCCCCAAGGTCCTCCCCAATTTCCTTCCACGAATTCTCTTTTTTAATAACCACATCCAATCAAAATAAAAGATGTCAAAAAGATATAGAAAGATATAAAAGATTAGGAAAAAAAATTCCAAAAAGAAAAGTTACACAGCCTTTGGATTCCAAATCTCCCCCCCCCCTTCCCCGGTTTGAATTCCCCAAATCCATCAATCTGTCTATTTGTCAGCCTGGAGTTCTCAAATCCATGGCCAGCTTCCCCAGTTCCGCCTTGCCGGTTTTTTATTCTTTAATAATGTTTAACTTCAAACATCCAATCTTGAGAAGGCCCCCCGAAGGGCCTTTGGTTTCCTTAGTCTTAATGGCTCCTCCCTTGTTCTTTCCAAGTCGTCGTCAGTCCTTTGTTCTTTTTCCTCACATTCTCTCTTTTCCTGTTCCGCTGCTAAAACGTTCTAATTCAGAAACTTGATACCTCTACAGAGGTTGCTGTTAGTTCAGGAACAAAAACCTACGTCCAGTCCCTTCCGTTCTTCAATAGATGAATCTATTGTCTCCTTTTAAAATAGACACCTCTGTAGACAAAATACTGTTTCATTTTTGCAACTTTCCCAGGAGATAACAAGTCCTGTACAATTCCAAGAGTATTTTTCCACTTACGACCATTCTTGTAATGTCCCGAAACCCCTCTAGGGGGATTATAGTAACTTTGTTTCCTCTAATCCAAAAGCCAAATTGTTATTCCTTATTTTCGACAGTTTATATCCAGTTTATATCCAAATTGTAGCAAAACTAACCAGCAAGGTCCTCATAACAAAGTCCTCATTGTATTCTCCAACTTTGACAGCTACTTTGACAGCTGTCAAAGTCTCTATCTCTCTTCACCAGGTTCTCTTATGGATCACCCCGGTTCCCGGGGTGGGGGGGTTTGCACTTTCATTCCCACCATCCACTTTTCTCCTCCAGCACAGTTCTTATAATTTCCCATCGTGGAATTAATAATTTTAATCAATAAACAGAAGCGAGCTCCTTTCTCAATCCGACCTTAGTTGCCTGATCCTTGTTTTAAGATGTTTACAATCGGGGGGGGGGGGGGACACTGACTTCCTTTTTGGATCTCCCCCGCTCGTGCCAAATCCGAAAAATTTTCTCCCCTTTTTAGTCCGATTTCCAAATTACTCACAGGTTGTCGTTTATAGTCCAAATTTTCAATGGAAGAAGTCAGCGCTCTCCGTCGAATGGCATGCGGCTTCGCTTGGCAGGGAAAGCAGAGGACTCACAGCACCACGCCGCTCCCTGGCACCCGTTCCGTAGCCTTTAAAAAGGCTACTTCACGAGTCGGGAGGGCGCTAACGGTGCCCGCCGAGTCGACCATGTCCACGGGCTCCGTGCCCGTGGTTTTTGAGGGTCCCCGCATCGCCGGCGCGGTAGGACCCAGCCCCTGCCGAGCAGGCTCCCTCCGAAGCTCGGAGGGAGTCCGCCATTCGGCGATGGCGCCAACCCGGAAGTCATTGCATGTATTATTCTAGTCAGGTATTTGCACAGTCTCTGCTGCTGTCATATCCCAAAGACTCTTTAAGCAGGGCCTCGCTGCATTGGGATGGAGGCTGTGCCTTGAGCCTCGCTCCATGTTGTCAACTCTTCTTCCTCCATCCTCCAGTGTGGTTGTTGCCAAAGGGAGCTCAATGCACAACCAGGGGTCTTTGTGCAAGGGTGGGGTGGGGTCCCTGGCCTGGGATAGGGCAAAAAAGGTGATCTCATGGAAGGTCGGCGGTTCGAATCCACGCAACGGGGTGAGCTCCCTTTGCTCCGTCCCAGCTCCTGTCAACTTAACAGTTTGAAAGCATGCCAGTGCAAGTAGATAAATAGGTACCACTGTGGCAGGAAGGTAAACAGTGTTTCTGTGTGCTCTGGTTTCCGTCAAGGTGTGCCATTGTGCCAGAAGTGGTTTAGTCATGCTGGCCACATAACCCGGAAAGCTGTCTGTGGACAAACACCGGCTTCCTCGGCCTGAAAGCAAGATGAGCGCCGCAACCCCATAGTTGCCTTTGACTGGACTTAACCATCCAAGGGTCCTTTACCTTACCTTTTTTTTTTACCCTACATGTGAGTGATGTGTGAGTAGGGCTCTGGTTCACTTTTCTTGAGGAGATGAGAGAGACACATTTTAAGAAGGCAAGGAGAGCCTGCTGGGGAGGGCAGTGGCCCATCTAGTCCAGCATCCTGCTCTCACAGTGGCCAACCCGGAAACCCACAAGCAGCCTCTGAGCACAAGATCATTCTTCCTTCCTGGGGATTCCAGCAACTGGTATTCAGAAGCATTGCTGCCTCCAACTGCGAAGGGGAGAAGGTAACTGCTGAGGCTAGTTGCCATCAACAGCCCTCTCTTCAAGGCCATCTAAGTCAGTGGCCGTTGCTGCCTCCAGTGGCAGCGAATTCCACCGATCAAACACTCACTGCTCAGGTCAAGAGGCAGCTGAGGAATCCTGGGGGGGGGGTCTCCCTCTGTGGCTGCAAAAAGCTCCCTTCTCCCCAAGAACATGCAGAATAACGAGAGCAGAACAGAGACCAGAGGTGCGCAGGTGCAGTTTGAGACTGCTTGGGAAACATCTGGGAGAAGAGGAGCCTTAGAAAGCGTGGAAGGCAGGGACCGTCAGTCCCAGTGGCAACTGCTCTATAGGGGCAAGACCAGTGCTCCCCCCCCTAAAATTGTTTAGGGGCACTTTCATTTTGACTCAAGAAAATAACCATTTTACAGTGGTACCTCAGGTTAAGTACTTAATTCGTTCCGGAAGTCCGTTCTTAACCTGAAACTGTTCTTAACCTGAAGCACCACTTTAGCTAATGGGGCCTCCCGCTGCTGCTGCGCCACCGGAGCATGATTTCTGTTCTCATCCTGAAGCAAAGTTCTTAACCCGAGGTACTATTTCTGGGTTAGCGGAGTCTGTAACCTGAAGCGTCTGTAACCCGAGGTACCACTGTATAGTTCGAATCAGGAAAAATAAATACAGTAAATGGACAAAAGTACAAAGAACATGTATTAGCTCAGGGGCCAGCAACCTTTTTCAGCCATGGGTCAGTCCACCGTCCCTCAGACCTTGTGGGGGGCCGGACAATTTTTTTTTGGGGGGGGGGAATGAACGAATTCCTATGCCCCACAAATAACCCAGAGATGCATTTGAAATAAAAGCACACATTCTACTCATGTAAAAACATGCTGATTCCCGGACCGTCTACGGGCCGGATTGAAAAGGCGATAGGGCCGCATGCGGCCCATGGGCCTTAGGTTGCCTACCCCTGTATTAGCTCCACACATTCCACACAGCTTCACACACTGACAATTCACCGTGCTAGAGAAGAAACTAATTTTTATTTTTAGCTTCTTCTCTCATTAGATTCACAAAATGTTTAGGGGTATGTGCACCCCTTTATCCCCCCAGGAGAAAAACAAAACACAGGGCAAGACCTACTGAGAAGTGTTGCTGATTTGCATGCCGTTTCCTTGAATAAAGAGCTAACTTCACTGACAACGGACCCTGCTTCTTTGTGCTGACCTGCGCCCTGACACAGACCCACATGTGGAACTCAGCTCCCTTCCCTGCCCACTCTGGCGCCCTGCATTAACCCTATGCCCTCTGGAAGGCTTTTGACATGAGCTGGATTATGGGCTTTGATATTGATAGATAATTTATTACAGTCGGAGACCAGCTTATAAAACACACTTGGGGGTACAGTCCCAGAAGGAAAACAAACAACTAAAACAATGTACAACAATAAATTTAAAATCCATAAATGCGATAAGCATATAGACACTTAAAACTTTAAGATAAACTACCACAGAGAGCTGACCCAGAGTTAAACCACAGAACCGAGTTTGGGGATTTTCTTAACGAACTAGTTTGAGTCAGGAGATGGTCTGTGCCTACAGATCTGTACACAGAATCTGGTTACCATCCGGGTCGTCTTCTGATCTTTGCCTAAAAGGAGAAGGGCTTTGATATACTGTATTTTCCGCTCTATAAGACGCACCAGACCACAAGACGCACCTAGTTTTTGGAGGAGGAAAACAAGAAAAAAAATATTCTGAATCCCAGAAGCCAGAACAGCAAGAGGGATCACTGCGCAGCGAAAACAGCGTTCTCTCTTGCTGTTCTGGCTTCTGTGATAGCTGCGCAGCCTGCCTTCACTCCATAAGACGCACACACTTTTCCCTTTACTTTTTAGGAGGGAAAAAGTGAGTCTTATAGAGCAAAAAATACGGTATTTTAAAGGCAGCTCAGTGGTAGAGCATGTGCTTTTCAAGAAGGACCCAGGTTCAATCCCTGGGCAGGAGTGCGAATGCTCCTTGCCTAAAACCCTGAAAATCTACTGCCTGTCCATGCAATACTGAGCTACAAGGACCAAGGCTCCGAATTCACAAAAGGAAGCTTTCCTACGTTCCTGAGCATCTTCCTCTGGGCTGCTTCCACACATGCTTAATTGTCCCGGAAGGAGGCATAGCAGGATAACTCCCTCCCACTTCCAAATCCAGCTACACCACTGACATGCCCTGCTAACCGGGTGCCATGTGGCTGTTGCGGGCAGAGAACATGCCTCTCCCTGTCTGCCGAGGCTGTGCTTATGAGCATCTTCGGCGTCAAGAAAAAGCCCCGAGAGAAGGTGAGGTCACACCTTCAGTTCATCCTGACTCACCTGTTTTTGCGTTTCAGCGGAAATGACACCCAAGTTAAGTCATCCCGGCTGCGATGAATCAGACCTTCCACAAGCAAGCTGGAGACCCCACTACGCTCGCTTAAGATGGCGCCGACCCAAATTTTTCGCCCAGCAAGGTGGGAGGGGAGGAGGTAAGGAAGGTGATTCCTCTCCTGTTTGTCACGGCCCCCGTTGTGCATTAAAATAAATGGAAAACACATCTTCACGATTTGAAGTGCTTGCCTGCAGGTGGGTTCATTTAAAAGACCCAAGCCTCCGTTTCCATTAATGTAGAGCTGTCATGGTGTGCGGCACTTTAAGGAATAATGGAAGGACTCCCCATTCCACAATGACAGGTCTCTGCCCCAGGAAGCTTACAATCTGAATGTTGGTGGTAGAAGAGATGAGCAGGGGGTTTCAGGGTGTGGGGTGGGAAGGAAGGCAGAAGGATAAAGAGAAGTTGACAATATACAAAAGCTGATCTGCAAAGAGCTCCATTTCAGGTGGGGATGGAGGCAAAGGGGTTAAACCTGCCAGGGGCTTAATGGAAAAGATGGGAATTTATGCAACCGGACTTACATAAATCTGCGTGCTTGAAAGAAAGGATGTTATTCAAAGGGGGTTAAAAAACCCCAACAACTTATGACGTCTTTTCCAAGACCGAAGAAAGATTTCAGATGGAACTGAGGGGTTATTGGATGCTGAGTGGCAGGAAAGCCTTTGTTGATCTCCACTACAAAGGAGCACAGCATGGTGTCTAGGAAAGGGGACCCCAATCCCCACCCCACATGTTGTGGGGCAGAAGGAGGGATGCCTCAAAGGCAGCCACAGAGAGAACAAGGAGCTAGAAAACAAGCCAAGAGGCAAAGCCAAGAGAATCATTCCCCAGGCAAAGTCCCACCTCTTGAACAGGAAACTGTTAGCACCACTTCCTGTTTAGGAGAGCCAATGGCCAGCTCGGATGGGCAGAGCCAGTGCCATCACGGGGACCTGTTCGCTGTAGGGATGGGGGACCTGTGGCTCCTAAGACTCAAATCCCACCAGCCCTGACCATTGGCCAGGATAGCTGGGGCTTATAGAAGCTGAAGCACAACAACATCTGGAGGGCCACAGGCTCCCAAACTCAGCTTTACTTCCTAGGGAGGAGCCCCAATTTGCAGCCCTGGTCGACCCCAACTTTAGGCAGCTGTGCACAGAACCACAGGTCGCCTGGTTCTAGCCCCGGTGGCTTCAAATAAAGTACAGTGGTACCTGGGTTTATGAACTTAATCCGTTTCAGAAGTCCGTTCTTAAACCAAAGTGTTCTTAAACCAAGGCGTGCTTTCCCATAGCAGCGGAGGACTCAATTTACAAATGGAACACACTCGACAGGAAGCAAAACATGTTCTGCTTCCAAGGCAAAGTTCACAAACCAAAACACCTACTTCCGGGTTTGCATGGTTCTTAATCCAAGTTGTTCATAAACTAAGCTGTTCTTAAACCAAGGTACCACTGTACCGGATCAAGGATCGTATTGCGGCATCTCCTGTCCCACCAACAAGGGAGATGAGGAATTTTTTTGTTTCTGTGGAGAGAGTGCAATGCAAAATGAAGCCCACTGGTAAGAGGGCGAGAGCGGGGGGGGGGACATAGGATCTGCAGCACAGCTTGGGGGAGGAACTGCATGTTTTCTGACAATTATGGGCTCCCCATGGGTTAAACCACAGAGCCTAGGACTTGCTGATCAGAAGGTCAGCGGTTCGAATCCCCACGACGGGGTGAGCTCCTGTCACTTGGTCCCTGCTCCTGCCAACCTAGCAGTTCGAAAGCACGTAAAAGTGCAAGTAGATAAATAGATACCACTCCAGCGGGAAGAAAAATGGCATTTCCGTGAGCTGCTCTGGTTCTCCAGAAGCGGCTTAGTCATGCTGGCCACATGACCCGGAAGCTGGACGCCGGCTCCCTCGGCCAATAAAGTGAGATGAGCGCCGCAACCCCAGAGTCGGCCACGACTGGACCTAATGGTCAGGGGTCCCTTTACCTTTACTTAAATCCATGGTGGTGGTGCTTAGTATGATGATGATGATGATTTATATTAATTTCATTTATATCACACCTTTTCTCCAAGGTGACATGCATGGCTCACCTTCAGTTAATCCCCACAACAACCCTAGGCTGAAAGGCTAGGACTGGCTTCCAAAGTCACCTGGTGAACTTCATGGTTGAGTAGGGGATTTGAACCCTGTTCTCCCAGGCCCTAGACTGGCACTCTAACCACTGCACCACAGGATGACACAAGCCCAGAGAGCTGCTATGCCTCCTCAAGGAGAGATTCATGCCCTGCTCTCCCTGCTGTGAAGGTGTGTGGGCATCAGAACCCACCTACTCACCCGTGAACCCCAAGGAGATACCTCTGCCAGCCGGCTCTGACATTTAGTCCAGACTTCTCAGCTGCAGTTGCAGGAGAACTATCCATGGTCCTGAACCCACACCCAGATCTCCCTCCTAAGTGCTGACTTTTGCCTCGCCATCCCACAGATAAGGGGGAACAAGGAAGTATCAATCTCCCCTTGCTTGCGGTATCACTTCTCCAGAGGAATGAATAGGATCAGAATAGAGGCCTTTGTAGGGAACAGCCAGCCAGTGGAAGGCAAGGGTGCTCAATCCCATGTTATTTTAATTTGCATATGCACCTATGCTTCTCCTCCCTCACTCCAGCCCACTATCAGTTTAGGAGCTTTACTGGCGGGGGGGGGGGGGGCAATTCAAAATGGTTAGGAGGTGGTGGGGAAGACTCAAACCAATGGCTTCAAGTTACAAGGAAGGAGATTCCGACTAAACGTCAGGAAGAACTTTCTGGTGGTAAAAGCTGTTCGACAGTGGAATGGTCTCCCCTGGGTTGTGGACTCTCCTTCTGAAATATACTTGGAGTCGAGAGTGGATTTCATGCTCTTTATTCAGCTCACAGTGGTGAGGAGGAATGGAAGTTCCCCCAGAATGTCTGCCTTATATACCTTATTTACATAATGGGCCCATGTGACTGGCTAATTCCAGGACTCTCCTGTAGGCCAATCAGGTTGTGGATTCACTTCCACCTGGAGCTGGATTGGGTGGCTCCTGTGGACCAATCAGACTGCTGCACTCTGGATCCTATTATTCTAGGACCAATCAGACTGCTGCATTCTGAATCCTATTGTTTTAGGACCAATCAGACTGCTGCCTTTTGGATCCTATTCAATTCAGTACATAATACCTTCCTTGAAGGTTTTTAAGCAGAGGTTAGGATGGCCATCTGGCATGGATGCTTTAGCTGAGATTCCTGCATTGCAGGAGGGTTGGACAAGATTGCAGACCCTTCCAACTCTACAATTCTATGATTCTATCCCTGTATTTCTGCTCTAACAACATGCAAAAAATGAAGTTGGCTTTATTTTGGTTTTCTGCATCGTCCCCACTTAACTTTGCTGATTGGCTTAATCACTGCTGAAGTAGTCTTACCTTTCGATATTCTGGGAGATATGTCCTCCAAGTCCTCATTCAACAAACCAATGATTTCTGCCATAACAATATTACTACCTCCCATTCTGACACTGAAATCACCCACCAGGGTAATAGTTGTTAATGGGCTGTTCTATCATTCTCTCTAACTTAATGTCTAACAAAGCCCACAGATTGCCCCCAGAGTCCACAAAGTAGTCCGAAACTGGCACCGCTGAACACTTGGAAATAGGGAGAGAGAGAGAGAGAGAGACACAGTTTGCTCTACTTTCACATTTAAGCTTGTTGAGACTGAAATAAAAAAATTAAGGTGTTATATAATGTTCATAAATGTACCAAGCTAAACGTGTACATAAATATATAAACCACATGTCTGAAGCAGCACAGGAAAACAGCCCTGGAACCATTTTGACTCCCAAACTGATCAAATGTTTCCTCTGCAAGGTCGAAGGAAAATGGAAAAGCCTCCCCATTGTCTTTTCATTCACAAAACCTGTCTTAAGGGTATATCTGTGTATGAATAGGGTGAGCCTGTGACCTGGCTCAGGAACGAAGTATTTATCATTACAAAAGACTGGCCAGGCTCCCCAGGGTATCCAGTCAAGTAAGAATTAACAGTTCATTTGCCAGACAGGAGGTAAACAACGACAGGAGGTAAACAATGCACTCAGATTTCTGCTGTAAACTGCCTTTTCTATGATGTAGGTATGATGTGTCTGGGGGATGGTCTTGGACTCCAATTTAAAATGTCTATATAAGGGCGGACACACCTTTGTTCTGGGTCCTCCTCCTTTCCTGCATAAAAGGGGAGCACCCTGTTGCAACAGTTCAATAAAGATCAGGTTTACTAGCTGCTTTGCTTCTCAACATTCTCTGGTTGGCCTCTGTTCTTTTCTCTGAACGATAGAGAACCCACAAAGGACTCTATAAGGGCTCTTGTGTCCCCCATAAGGGAATAAGGGCAGATTTCCATTTATTACAAGGCACAAAGGGACATTCTGCCATTACTTCTTCCTTTGCTGTTAACTGTGCTTGGATTTATCAATACTGTTGTGTTTATTTTTCGTCTCTCCCTCCCACCGGTCCTTTTACTGTTGTTTTTCACGTTGAGAATCCCTGCCTTGGAAGGTGGATTACAAATCAAGTTAATAAAATGACCATCACAAACTCCATGTGAAACAAAACAACAAGCTGTGTACTTCCCCTGTAATTGTGTCGTTTTACCTGTGGAGTGTTAGATCACAGGCAAAGTCTAGTTCCATTGTTTGGAGGAGGCCTCTAGATTAAGGGATTAGTCACTGGAGAAAGGGCTACCTAAAGCTACCTTCACAGCCTAGGCCCATGTTTTCTGAAAGACCATATTCCCACACATGAACCTGCCTGGGTTTCGAGATCTTCTGGGGAGGGCCTTCTCACGGTCCTGCTACCCTCACAGGAACGTTTGATGGGGACACAGGAGAGGGCCTTATCGGTGACTGCCCCCTGACAACTTTGGATCTCCCTTGCTATAGAAGCCAGCTTGGCTCCTTCCTTGCTGACAGGTGAAGACATTCACGATCCAACAGGCTTTTGGGAACAAGCATAGAATTGCAGAGTTAGAAGGCACCACCTAGTCCAAGCCCCTTGCAATGCAGGAATCTTTTGCCCAACAAGCCTGAGTTTAAGAGTCTCACACTCTTACCAACTGAGCTTAAATGCTGGTCTTCTGTTAACGCATCTTTAACTTAATGGTGTCAGATTTATGTCTGTTGACACTTGCACCGGGACGTATTTTAATTACAGTGGTACCTCGGGTTACATAAGCTTCAGGTTACATACGCTTCAGGTTACAGACTCCGCTAACCCAGAAATAGTACCTCGGGTTAAGAACTTTGCTTCAGGATGAGAACAGAAATCGTGCTCCAGCAGCGTGGCAGCAGCAGGAGGCCCCATTAGCTAAAGTGGTGCTTCAGGTTAAGAACAGTTTCAGGTTAAGAACGGACCTCTGGAACGAATTAAGTACTTAACCTGAGGTACCACTGTATTGCTTCCAACTCGTTTGTTTTCACCGTGATAGCGGATGTTTTAAAATGCCGTAGGCTCAAATATAAAAATGATTTCAGTAAAAATTAAAAATGCCGTAGGTGCTGCCTTGCATCCCAGTTTGGAATGGAAACGTTTATATAGAACAAACAAGCAACAAATACATAAACACGCAGTCTAGCAAAGCGACCTTTAGCCTTACCCAAGAATGTTCCAATGAATCCCAGGGCCAGGAAGCTGGAAGTGACAAACACGATGCCAATGGACATCAGGGCTACACTGGTGTAGTGCGCCAAGAGGGAATCCAGGGCCTTCAGTTTGGGCTGGCTCTTCATGGCTTCTGTGAAACTGCAAGGAAAGGAGAGGAAGACCAGCGGTCTTGTCTCATTCTCTGCTCTCTGTCTGCTTACCAAGGCATATTGAATAAACATACAAGACGTAACCGGCTGTACCTTTAAATAAATAAGGTATACTATTCGTTGTATCAAATTGTAGATTTCAACGGAAGTCTCATAAAGTTCAATGGAAAATACAGAAGACCCAGTGGATCAGTTCATTCTCTAGTCAGTTCATGCATAAGGTCCATACATGTATAAGTGTCTATTCCACCTGTCTGTTCATAGAGTCCAATAATCCACATGAAGGGTTGTTACAGTTCCACAGAATCCTTTCACAGAGTCTAAGACAAGGATTTCAGGAATACCAGCCTTGTTTCGCCATCCTAGGCTTCATCAGTAGTACAGGCTCATATGTAATATTACAGGATAGTGGGTCTTATAGCATAGTATGGTTGCAGTTTGGAGCCCTCCCTTCTGGGTCCGTAGACCTGACAGCATGGTCAGTGCAGCATACTAGCTGGAGATAAACACACAAAGTGCAAAATTCCCCATTTGACTCTCGCCTCTGCCACGAACTCCTCAGACCGCCCTGGGCAAGTCTCTCTCAGCCTCAGTTTTCCCTTTCTGCAAAAATGGGGATATTTACAATTGCAAACCCCCCTCCCCCAAGTTGAATTTTCAGCTGAATTTGGGGGAACCATTTAAAGCGTCCGTTGTGTTGAGCTATTTCAATTGCTCTTGTTGCGTTTGCTCATTGCAAGCAGCTGAAAGTCTGTAAATTTTGAGAAGAAACCTGATTTGCAATGGGGGTTAAATAACTTCGATTGCAACTGTATCTATCTTATTAGTTGCTTGTCGCCCACAAGTCTCCAAGCGGCTTATATTAAAGGAAAAAATATATGTACATATATTCCTTCTTGGTAGTGGCGCCCACCCTGTGGAATGCCCTCCCTTCAGATGTGAAGGAAATAAGCAGCTATCCTATCTTTAAAAGACATCTGAAGGCAGCCCTGTTTAGGGAAGTTTTTAATATTTAATGCTGTATTGTTTTTAACACTTGGTTGGCAGCCGCCCAGAGTGGCTGGGGAAACTCAGCCAGATGGGCGGGGTATAAATAATAAATTATTATTATTATTATTATTATTATTATTATTATTATTATTACATACTTAATACCATAGTGGGGTAAAATGAGAGTGAGATGATGTAATACTTGAATATTTCATGTGACATGCAACTTACGGAGAAACAAAAACGTCACACCAGCCCCATAAACAGTAGCAAACAACGTTAGCAATATGCATCAAATAAGGAATATTCCAAACCACTAATAATATTGCTCTACTTTACAGGGTGGTTGTACTGATTACAAGATGGGAAGCATTTTTTATATAAGAACGAATGGATGCTGGAAATGTAAAGAAAAGGAAGGTATCTTCTTCCACTTGCAAAGAGGTAAAGGCTTTCTGGGAAATGATATGTAAAGAGTTAAAGAAGTTGTTCAAAAATACCTTTGTTAAAAAACCAGAAGCCTTTTTATTGGGCATAGTGGGTTTTGAGATACCAAGGGAAGAGAAAAGACTGTTTATATATGCAACAACAGTGGGAAGAACCCTTTTAGCCCCAAAATGGAAACAACAAGAAGTACCAACGAAAGAAGAGTGGCAAATGAAGATGATGGACTTTGCAGAACTGGCGAAGCTGACAGGGAAAATTCAAAACCAGCACGATCAAGTATCCCAAAAAGATTGAAGTAAATTTATACGATATTTGAAAGATTATTGTAAGCAATTAACATCACTAGCAGGGTTGTCCCAAATCTTGTAAAGAGAAATTTTCTCCCCTTCTATATTTATAAGTGTAATTCTATATATGAGTGTAATTAGAACTGGAAAATGTACAAAACGCAATGATACAAAGGTTAATTTTGAAAGCCATGAAGCGAGGGGGAAGGAAGTTGATAGGCTCTAAGGAGCCAGAGCGGTAAAGTAGATAATAATAATGTGAATGTATATTGTATTACTAAATAGAAAACCAATAAATATTATTTTTTTAAAAACCAAGATGGAAAGCATTTTCAGCTCTAGCTTCATGCGATATAAGTGCTTCATATCTTGGCCAAATATTTGAGTTTCTTTTGCCAGCTGGAGCACAATGTTGAGTCAGCCCCACAGAGATTCCTGAAATTATCCCAAGAAAACTCCATGGTGCTTTGAGCTTTTCAGCAGAGATGAGAAACCTCCAGATGCTGTTGGACTCCAACTCCTATAAGCTGCAGCCAGCATGACCAATGGTTAGAAATGATGGCAGCTGGAGACCAGCAATATACGGAAGAAGGCCACAGGGTTCATTCCTGGCCCCGCATCCTCCTTGGCCAACAGAGCTCTTCCTGTTTCTCAGAAAACTGAAAAATATGGTAGCCCCCTGGGTTGCTGTATGAGTGGAAAGTTTCACTGTACACAACTCCCTGAGGGTGGCAGGATAGTTTGGTCCCACCTGTGATCTTGGGCAACTGAGTCCTGATCAAAAACATCCACCTCAGACAGGAGTTGAGAAAGGTTTGCTCTGTTATCTGGTCCTTTCCCCCCCTCACACTTCCAAAATATCGCATAGCTCACATAGCTCACATATTGGGCACAGCGTCAACACATTTTCCACAGCTGGAGCCTAAAATTAGATATTTGGGGAAAGGTGGTGATAAACAACGGAAAGCCCCTTCTGGAAAACTTCCAGTATTTATTTTTAAACTAAAACAGTGCAAGCGTCAGGTCTGAAGTGGGATCAGACTAGGACAGCAACCCTAGGTCTACTATTTCCACACTGTTGGGAATCGCAAGCAAGGAGAGGGGCTGCTGAGGTCAGATCCTGCATGTGGGTTTCTCAGATGCCTCTGGTTGGCCGTGCGAGATCAGGGTGCAGGAGCAGACAGGCCTTTGGTCTGAGGCAGCAGTCTTTTCTTACAGTCTCACTCGGCTCTGGGCAAGAGGACCGGCTCTACCATTAGGCAGAGTTACCGTATTTTTCGCCCCATAAGACGCGCCTGATCATAAGACGCACCTGACCATAAGACGCACCTAGTTTTAGAGGAGAACAAGAAAAAATATATTCTCTCCCTCTCTGCTCAGCACCTCTCCAGCAAAGCGGGAGGAGAAACTGAGCCCCTTCCATTTCTCCTCCCATTTCGCTGAAGGGGTGCTGCGCAGAGAGGGAAAGCTGCGCAGCGCCTCTCCAGCGAAGTGAAGCCAGGAGAACAAGAGCGATCGGTGCGTACCGATCCCTCTTGCTCTCCTGGCTTCAGCGAAAGCAACGCGAAGCCTCCGGAGCACAGCGGGAGCACAGAGCGGCCCTCGCTTTTCTTGCTTTAAACCTTTCCATCCCTCCTCCCGCTTCACTGAGAAGCCAGCAGAGCAAACTGCGCAGCTCTCGCTGAAGCCAGCAGAGCAAGAGCGATAGCTGCGCAGCGCCTCTTGTTCTGCTGGCTTCCCAGCAAAGTGGGATGAGGGATGAAAGGGAGCCCTTGCAAGGGAACGCTGAGCAGAGCCTGGCAGTGGCTCTTGCTAGCTTTTCTGGGAGGTGGGGGAAGGGACAGAAGGCAGCCCGTCAGTCCCTTCTCCCACCTCGCAGAAAAGCCCCCAAGAGCTGCACACACGCTCCATGCCGCTCTTTAAAGGGAGCTCTGAGCAGAGCCTCCCGCCTGCATTCGCTCCATAAGACGCACACACATTTCCCCTTACTTTTTAGGAGGGAAAAAGTGTGTCTTATGGAGCAAAAAATAGGGTAGATAGCTGGTGCCTGAGGGCAGACCCAAGGCATTCCCCTCTGGGCTCAAGGCTTGGCAGATGAGCCGCTGGAGACCCCCTTTCAAGCCCACAGCCCCATGCCCCGTTTGCTCAGGCTTCAATGCTTAGGCCAGTGCTTCTTGAACTCAGACCTCCGTCTGTTGTTGGACTACAACTCCCATCATCCCTGACCACTGGTCCTGCCAACTATGGACGATGGGAGTTGCAGTCCAACAACAGACAGAGACCCCAGTGTGAGAAACACCGACTTAGGCAAACAAGCGGTCCCATCCATCCGAATCTTGTATGAGGCCACCTGGTCTTTTGACTACGGAGAAGAGGGAAATTGTTTGCAAAGGGTAATGGGCCATTTTCTCCCGGAGTAATGATTTGTGGCTTCTGAAGAATAGTTTTTATTTGCACAGCGCTCGAACTCAGGTCTCTTTCTCTTCCTGCCCCCCCCACGTCCCCTCAGAACTTGTAAATAAACTTTGCAGCTCTGCGCCATAACAACAAACACCGACTTTCTCGGCGGATGGAATCAGTCCAGCATCCGTAGTCAATCTTGCTGGTGACATCTGTTAAAAATTCAGCTGGAGCCATCAATCAACCAACCGCCTTTGCTTTACGGTTGACACAAGCCTTGTCAACATAAGGGATCTCTGGGTATTATCATGCAACATGGTGTTGACCTCCAGCCCTGGGACTGTAATAATAATAATAATAATAATAATAATAATAATAATACAGTGGTACCTCAGGTTACATACGCTTCAGGTTACATACGCTTCAGGTTACAGACTCCGCTAGCCCAGAAATAGTACCTCAGGTTAAGAACTTTGCTTCAGGATGAGAACAGAAATCGTGCTCCAGCGGCGCGGCGGCAGTAGGCCTCATTAGCTAAAGTGGTGCTTCAGGTTAAGAACGGACTCCAGAACAAATTAAGTACTTAACCTGAGGTACCACTGTAATATATTTACACCCCACCCATCTGGATAGGTTTCTCCAGCCACTCTGGGCGGCTCCCAACAGTTGTTTTTTTTTAAAGCGATAAAACATCAAACATTAAAAACTTCCCTGTACAAGGCTGCCTTCAGATGTCTTCTACAAGTCAGATAGTTGTTTATTTCCTTGATATCTGGTGGGAGGGCGTTCCACAGGGTGGGTGCCACCACCGAGAAGGCCCTCTGCCTGGTTCCCTGTAACTTGGCTTCTCGCAGGTAGGGAACCGCCAGAAGGCCCTTGGAGCTGGGCCTCAGTGTCCAGGCAGAACGATGGGGGTGGAGACGCTCCTTCAGGTATACTGGGCTGAGGCCATTTAGGGCTTGAAAGGTCAGCACCAACCCTTTAAATTGTGCTTGGAAAGTGCAGGCAGAACTGGAACCAATCACAGGCAGAGCCAAACTGATGAGGCCGTCACCATGGCACCCTACCGGATGCTGTTTGGACCCCGTCCTCCATTATCCCTGACCATTGTCCCCATTGACTGGGGCTGATGGCAGCTGGAGTCCACCATGCAAGGGACCATGTTGGCAGCCCTTGCTCTAACCACTACACCCCACACCCTCCTGCGGAACCTTCCCTCTCGAGCCTGGCTTAAAGTTCAGGAGCTCCAAGCCGAAGTGGACGCCAGGGAGGGGCTGGACGGGGTTGACCCGAACTGCAACGAGGAGAGGGGAGAGATAATTTTAGCAAGGGAATATACGGGCAGAGGAGAAATCGATGCCAAGAAAAGGGCGCTTGTTGTGATAACAGTTACATACTGACCCAAATAACACGTAACACCCAGGCAGGGCTTGTTAGAAAAGCAGAGTCATTATCAGCCATGGAAAAGAACAGTCTGGCAGCGAGGCCCGCAGGAGAGGCTGGTTTTCTTAAGGAAAGCGCCAGGTTTTGGGCTTATGAAAGGCTTGGCTCTGACACCTAAGGCGGGAAGCAGGTGGAAAGCAGTCAAGGCACAATAGCTGCCCCCTTCCAGCCAATGAGAACTCTCCCTCTTGGTCCAATTTACACCTTTTTCGGGGGGTTTACGCCACCCCGGCGGGTCTCAGCTTTCCGGTTAATGCGGTAAGAAGCGATTCCAGCAAAACGTCAATTGTAAACGGCAGTGTTGGGTCATTTTTGGCCCAAAGTTGTTGGGTTTCGTCTCAGGTTTAGCTGGGGTCACTTGGCGTTGGGGGGTTGGGAATGAGGGTACCGGGGCAGCTTGCCACCGTGCTAGAGAAAAAACTATTTTTTGGAACATTTTTAGTTTCTTCTCCTGTTAGATTTACAAAATGTTCAGGAGTATGCACCCCCCAATAAAAAAAGCACTGGATTAAAGTGCTCTCATAAAGCAGTAGGAACAGTGCTTTTTTCTGGGGGTACACAGGGGGACACATACCCCTAAACATTTTGTGAATCTAAGTTTGGCCTCATCGAGGGGCAGTATTTCCATATGAGTAGGAAAATGAGAGTACCCCTAAACTTTTTTTCAGGGGAAAAAACACTGGGTAGGAATAAGAACATCAGGGAAGTAAGGTGGGAAGTCAAAATTCAAGAAAAGACATATATTGAAATACAAGTGAATTTGAAAAACCTGTGAAAATCAATAAAAAGTATGTCTTAAAAAACCCAACCACAACCAGCCTCGTTCATTCTTACTCTAGAGGAAGAACACAACCAGGCCCATCCCATTAAATATGAAAACCCTTTCATGTAAAAGGAAGTGCGAGCTGATCTGTAGCCGTCACTCAGCTCAACGAAAAGAGCAAGATTTTGGAAAGGGCAGTTGATGAATGTAAAGCAGCAATTTTATTTAATGCACAGCCTGGCTTTATTCGACTCGGTAGATGTGCATCTATTGGAAAGGCATTTGGTGAGTCAGAAAATAAAAAAAGGGTGGGGGCAGGAATCAAAGGAATGACACAGAAAGGCAGTTTTGTTTTTCTGACGTAACCAGACGCTCAGATTACAGGGCCTGCGTTAGCCAAGCGGGTGCCACTTACAACGCAGACCTTCCATTTTGTCTGCCCTTTCCCTCGGCCTCTCTCTGCCTCTGCGTATGTTCCTACTAGTCAAAGAGCACAAACGTGTGTCATGCCCAGAGTTGGCGCTCATCAAACGTTGCTCAAGAATTCGTCCCTCACTCCTGTTATCTAAACTGGCATTCGCCAAGCCTGGTGCCTTCCAGATCTCGTCTGACTGCCCGTGGCAGGGATGGGGGCATATCTGCAGTTCAATGGCCACCAGTTTCTGATTTGATCCCGGAATGTCTCACTTTTCCTTAAAGGTAAAGGGACCCCTGCCCCTACGGGCCAGTCTTGACAGACTCTGGGGTTGTGCGCCCATCTCACTCAAGAGGCCCGGGGCCAGCGCTGTCCAGAGACACTTCCGGGTCACGTGGCCAGCGTGACATCACTGCTCTGGCGAGCCAGAGCCACACACGGAAACACCGTTTACCTTCCCGCTAGTAAGCGGCCCTATTTATCTACTTGCACCCGGGAGTGCTTTCGAACTGCTAGGTTGGCAGGCGCTGGGACCGAGCAGTGAGAGCGCACCCCGCCGCGGGGATTCGAACCACCGACCTTTCGATCGGCAAGCACTAGGCATTGAGGCTTTTACCCACAGCGCCACCCACGTCCTTAGGATGTCCCTATTTCCATCGGGGAAATGTTGGAAGTGATGGAGTTATTTGACCCCCAAGTCATCTGAAGGCAGCCCTTTATAGGGAAGGTTTTTTTATTTTTTTATTTTATTGTTTTATTATTAATGTTTTATTATGTTTTTATATATGTCGGAAGCCATCCAAAGTGGCTGGGGCAACCCAATCAGATGGTTGGGGTATAAAGAGTACATTATTATTATTATTATTATTATTATTATTATTATTAGGCTGTCCCTACTTTCATCGGAGGGTATGCAAACATGGGCGTAGCCAGGATTTTGGGGGTTGGGTGGTGACCTCAGTTTGCTAAGGGTTTTTGATTGATTTTTATTGATTGGGTGGCCACTGCCTCCCTGTCTACGCCCATGTATGCAAATATGTGCCTTAAAAGCAATGCTGTCAGCCAAGATTCATTAGGAAGGAAGGTTCACTGTGCTGAGTCCACAGATCTCTTGCTTGGAAGGAGAGATCAGACGGATCAGACTGGCACCAGGAAGCCAATTCTCTGCCCACTCGCTTCCATTGATTACACGCTTCCATTGATATATTGGCTTGCAAGCCTTCAGCCGTTTATGAAAGCCACCAGCTGAGTTTGCTGGCAGCCCGGCAACAAGCCTCTGTACACACAGAGTAGTCCTCCTTTTACTACCAGGTGTTGTTTATGTCCGGAAGCTGATAGCACGGTTTATGGAGAGTCCCGGAAAAAGTGAAAAGCAAACAGCCGCAAGATTTCCTCCAGCAAAACTGACCTAGGAGGAACTCAAACACGCTTATCTGCCTGTTACATAAGCCGAGTGGGCCCTGAACCTACGATTACCTTGGAATCAATTATGATCCAATTGCATCCTATCGCAGAAGAGTTCCAGGAAAATGCTGTGTTGCCAATAAAAACGGCTGGTGGTCTGCGCTGTAATGAACTGAGGCCATTGAGCTTTGGGAATTATCTCAGCAGTTTGCAAGAGCTCTGTGGCCTGACCCCCTTCACCCACAAATACTAGGAATTAGTTTCGGGGGGGTTGTTTGAGGTCTGCCTTACAGAGGGGGCCGTAGCTTGTATGAAGATTTGCTGCCTCCATCCCAGCCTAGGACCCACGTACCTACGGGACTGCCTCTCCTGGAATGCCCCGCAGAGGACCTTAAGGTCCACAAATAACAACACTTTGGTGGTCCCGAGCCTCAAGGAGGTTAGATTGGTTTCAACTAGGGCCAGGGCCTTTTCAGTACTGGCCTCAACTTGGTGGAACACTCTGTCCCAAGAGACTAGGGCCCTGCGGGACTTGACATCTTTCCGCAGGGCCTGCAAGACAGAGCTGATCCACCAGGCCTTTGGTCTGGACTCAGTCTGACCCTTATGTTTCCCTCCCCTTATGGTCTTGATTTATCAGCTATTTTAAAATGCGGCTGCATTTTAATCATAGAATCATAGAGTTGGAATAGACCACAAGGGCCATCGAGTCCAACCCCCTGCCAAGCAGGAAACACCATCAGAGCACTCCTGACATATGGTTGTCAAGCCTCTGCTTAAAGACCTCCAAAGAAGGAGACTCCACCACACTCCTTGGCAGCAAATTCCACTGTCGAACAGCTCTTACTGTCAGGAAGTTCATTTAAATTGCATTTTAACCTGTATTTTAAATTGGGTTTTTTTCTCCCTCTCTTTTTCCCCTATTATGTTTTTACTGTGATTTTATTTTATTGGTGTTAGCGGCCCTGAGCCCAGCTCTGGCCAGGGAGGGCGGGGTATATTGTATTTTTCGCTCTATAAGACGCACCCAACCATAAGATGCACCTAGTTTTTAGGGGAGGAAAACAAGAACTAAGAAAATGGTCTTCCCTCTTCGCTCAGGAGGCTTTGCGTTGCTTTCGCTGAAGCCAGAAGAGCAAGAGGGATCAGTGCGCAGTGAAAGCAGCAATCCCTCTTGCTGTTCTGGCTTCAGGGACAGCTGCGCAGCCTGCATTCGCTCCCTAAGACGCACACACATCTCCCTTTACTTTTTAGGAGGGGAAAAGTGCGTCTTATAGAGTGAAAAATATGGTAAATAAAATTATTATTATTATTATTATTATTATTAGCCTTCCCCTCCAAGAATTTGCTCATTTCTCTTTTAAAGCCAGTGAGATCCACAGTTTAACCGCGTGAAGAAGGACTTCCATTTATCTGTCCTGAAACTCCCCGCATCTGGCACTATGGGAGAGAAAGAAGAACTTTCCTCTATCCCTCTGCTCCAACCTTGGTGGCAGAGCGTGTGGCTTTTTCAGGCAGGAGGTGGCAGAGGGTCCAAGATGGGCTGTGGACCCCACGGTTCCTAAGCTCTTGGTCGGATCCAGCCTTGGCCTGGTGCACTGATCCCACCTCGGATACCCGCAGAACCAGTTCCAAACAAGGAGAGATAAAAGCTCCCTGAAATCACTGCGGATTTCGGCAAAGCCGCTCAGAAGCCAGCTTCTGCCTCTTCAGTTACCTTTGCTGCACCGAGAACACCTGAGGACACATTACCATAATGTACAGTACATCATTCATACTGGATTACGAGCGAGCCGGGGCGGTGTGGGAGGCGTTATCTTGTCATATCGCAGATAGGGGAGTTGAATTGACCTGCCAGCTAAGTGCACAGATAATCCTCCATGCTTCTCCAAACAGGGAATTCTGTAAAACACTCAAAGAGCACACTAGAGATATGTTTTGCTTCCCGCAAGAGAAAAAGGCAGCAAGAACAATCAGAGCAAAACGATATATTTCTCCTCTTTCCTTTATTATCCATTGCAAAAATTTACAATGATCCCTCCTAACTACAGAAACTATACAAAAAGAACCACAAATGGTTATTTTTTGGAAAAAAAAGTTAATTATTAAAATGGCAGTAGTGAAATGCTTAACAACAACAACAACAGGCAGTGTCGTAAATAAATTTATAGAATCATAGAATCGTTGAGTTGGAAGGGACCCTGGGGGTCATCCAGCCCAACCCCCTGCAATTCAGGTATCTCAGCTAAAGCATCCATGACAGACGGCCATCTTGACAGACGTGCACTTGATACTGGTCCACTTGGGAGCTCTGGGAAATGTAGTTCTTTGAGGGGGATGGGGAGTCTCCTAACAACTCTCAGCACCCTTAAAAAAACTACAGCTCCCAGAATTCTTTGGGGGATGCTGTGGTAGTTTAAAGTGCTACCACAGCACTTTAAATGTATGGTGTGAATGTGGCCAACGCCCCTTGCGGCCACGGCTTCCGGTGTCTAGCGGCCAATATCGGCCGGATTTAGCCCAAAAGAATGCTCCTTACCAGTGGCTCCGCAGGAAATTAAGGAACATGATGACAGCTCCCAGGCAGTAACAGGCCAGGTACGGAGAACGGAAGAGACGCGTGAGCGACCGGGTCCTGTACTCCCATCTCGCTACCTGATTGGACAAACAAGAAACAAGGTGCGTCAGAGACAGGAAGGCTTAAGGGTGCAAGCTGGCCAGATCAGTCAACTTCCCAATTTTGTCGCCTGGAAACAACCAGAGCTGGGTGCAAATGAACTCCCAAAGGTCTCCACTCTTGTTTGTGGGCAGAGAAACTAAGGTTTCAGAGGGGAACAATTTAATTAATTAATTAATTAATTGAATTAATTAATAAATAATAATAATAATACAAAGGTACCTCGGGTTACAGACGCTTCAGGTTACAGACTCCGCTAACGCAGAAATAGTACCTCGGGTTAAGAACTTTGCTTCAGGATGAGAACAGAAATCGTGCGGCGGAAGCAGGAGGCCCCATTAGCTAAAGTGGTACCTCAAGTTAAGAACAGTTTCAGGTTAAGAACAGACCTCCAGAACGAATTAAGTTCTTAACCCGAGGTATCACTGTAATAGTTATTGTTTATTATTTATACCCTGCCCACCCGGCTGGGTTTCTCCAGCCACTCTGGGCGGCTCCCAACAGAATATTAAAAGCACAAGAAAACATCAAACATTAAAAACTTCCCTAAATAGGGCTGCCTTCCGATAGCTGTTTATTTCCTTGACATCTGAAGGGAGGGCGTTCCACAGGGCGGGTGCCACCACCAAGAAGGCCCTCTGCCTGGTTCCCTGTAAGCTCACTTGTCACAGTGAGGGAACTGCCAGAAGAACCCTCAGAGCTGGACCTCAGTGTCCAGGCTGAAATATGGGGCCCATGTACATTGGGCCAAGGTGTTTTAGGGGTTCGTAATGTTTTCTTTTTTTAATGTTTCGTTTTAATTGCATTGCTGCACCTTGTTGTTTCCTGCCCTAGACTCCTCTGGGAGGCCACCCTGGAAGAGTGGCAGATGAAGGTGATGGATTATATGGAATTGGCGGAAATGACTGGCAGAATCCGAGACCAGGGAGAAGAGTTGGTGGAAGAAGATTGGAAGAAATTTAAAGACTATTTGCAGAAATACTGTAAAATTAATGAATGTTAAAATGATGTTGGATTGAAAATAAGTGGTATTGGTAATAAGGTTAATAAGAATATGCAAATATGGATTGATAATGGATGAAAAATTATATAGTTATAATAGGTTAAGATATAGAGTAAAGATAAATGAAAGAGGGTAAGGATTTGCTGAAATGGGAATACAAGAAGGGGAGGTGTGAGGAGGTCAAGGAAACAAGTAAATGAGCTTAAAGACATGGAAAAATGGATTTATTTTTAATTTTTTTCTTAGCTATTTCTTTTTTGTATTTAGTATTCTCTTTTTCTTCTTCTATGTATTTTTTGGAAATTTCTGTATTTTTCTTGTTATCTTTTTTCTTCTTTTTTCTATGTTTTCTTTTTAGCTTGTTAATTTTTGTTTTAATTGCCTTTATTCTGTAAACCTATGTTTTTTGTAAAACGCTAATAAATATCTTATTAAAAAAAAGACTCCTCTGGGAGGAAGGGCAGAAGAGAAAATCTATACAATTTTATTGCAGGGATGGAATCACCCTATGCAACGACAGTAAGCTCAGCTTCTTTCTTTTTCCCCTATGGGTTTTTTGGGGGGTGCACACTGAGGGTTGATTCTGCCAATGGCACCAGGAGCAGCTGTGTTGGTGGTGTGACCCCCACAACTCCATCCGCAGTATACATCGAAAGCACCATGATAATAACACTTTGAACAGTCATGGCTTCCCCCAAAGGATTCTGGGAACTGTAGTCTGTTTAGGATGCTGAGCATCCTGCCATCTCTGTCCTTGAAGTGCGATAATGTGGCCCTCGGGCTAAAAAAAAAAGGGGGGGGAGAGATGTAAATATCCACGACGTTACTGCATTCTGCCCGGGGAGGAATAAAGCATCAGGGCAGGTTATCTTTTCTGCCAGAGGGCAAAACCAGCCACCAGTCAGATTTGCTGCAGGCTTTGCGAAGCAACAGACCCAGAGCCTGTGAGCTGATTCGATTACTCATGTAAACGGACGGCTCCGCAATTGCAACGGACGGCTCCGCAATGGCAGAGAGATCAAGTGCAGATGTACCATTCCTCCTTTCTGTCGGCGTAAATAGTTTGCAGCTGTAAATTCAATTTAAAAGGAAAAGGGGGGACGGGGGGGCACAGGAGGTGTGCGTCACCAACGCTGCTATAACTGGAGCTCCGGGCAAGGGTTGGCCGTAAAGGGATGAGGGCAAGGCGAGTTGCTGCTTTTTTTTGCACCAACAACGACTGACACCAGGCTGCTGACTCATGGGGAGCAATGGCGCCACATCATCCGGCAGGCAGGCAGGCAAAAACAGAAAAAGAATGCGCAGCCAGTTATTGATGCCTCGGATGGGAAATCATTTTGCTTGTCAAAAGTGTCGCTTGGAACGAACGATGCTACGGTACAAGGTTAGAAAACCAAGTACAAATCTGCAAACCCTGATTACAGCTGGTTCTGATGCTGTAATCTAGGGGCGCAGAAACACCACCACCACTTGTTCTAGAGCTGCCTTTGGGTGGGGTGGGAACTGCATGCACCCCATCAAGAAGGATATTAAACAAAACTTGGAATGTGCACAGACGAGGGTGACCAAGACGATAAAACCAAGCCTTACAAGGAACGGTTGAGGGATTGGGATATGTTGGGCCTGGAGAGGAAAAGACCGAGAGGCGATAGGGTAGCCATCTTCAAATATCTGAAGCGCTGTCGCATGGAAGATGATGGAGCAAGCTTGCTTTCTGCTGCTCCAGAGAGTAGGATGCGAACCAGTGGCTTCAAATTACAAGAAATGAGATTCCGACTAAACATCAGGAAACTTTCTGAGAGTAAGAGCTGTTTGACAGTGGAACAGTCTCCCCTGGGAGGTTGTGGACTCTCCTTTCTTGGAGATTTTTAAGCAAAGGTTGGGTAGCTATCTGCCACGGATGCTTTAGTTGAGATTCCTGCATCGCAGGGGGTTGGACTAGATGACTCTCATGGTCCCTTCCAACTCTGCAGCTCTATGATTCTATTCCACCACAGGTTCTAGTAATGCCTATTATATCATATTTGGCATCCCGTATTAAGAACTCAAATTCATCTTGTTTGTTTCCCATATTCTGTGCATCGGTATAGAGACAACTGAAACAATGAATCATTCCCATCAGCTGCTTCCTTCTTGTGGTTTCCTGCCCATTGGCAGGTTTCTCTGGCACTGCCTCAGTTTCCTGTGCATCAACGAAGCCTTGGGCTTCAGCACCTTATCCTCATACTCCAGGTGCCTCACTCTGATCAGGTAAGGCCTCTGGGCGCTTGTTGAGGCCCTATATCTGGATGGCCTCCTCACCCAAGGGCCACAAGCCTTGGAGGTATTTAAGCAGAGGTTGGATGGCCATCTGCCAGGGGTTATTTAGATGTGATTCCTGCACTGCAAGGGGTTGGACTAGATGGCCCTTGGGGTCCCTTGCATCTCGACAGTTCTATGATTCTATGTCAGAGGCACCATCCTAGCAAAAGGACACATTGCAGTCAGGCCAAAGCCATAAAGGAGGATGTGGAGCAGCACCAGGAGAAAGAAACCTACTGCTGAACCAGACCAAAGGCTCATCTAATCCAGAATAATTTCCCACAGCAGACAACCAGATGCCACTTCCCAAAACAAGATTCATGGGATGATTCCATTGCTGTTATTTAGATACTAGGAGCAACTGCGGCATAATGGTTGGAGCAGGCATAGGCAACCTTTCGGCCCTCCAGATGTTTTGGCCTACAACTCCCATGATCCCTAGCTAACAGGACCAGTGGTCAGGGATGATGGGAATTGTAGTCCAAAACATCTGGAGGGCCGAAGGTTGCCTATCCCTGGGTTAGAGTGTCAGACGAGGACCTGGGAGGGACCAGGGTTCAAATCCCCTCCCCTCGGCCTGAAGCTCACTGGGTGACCTTGCTGGCCAGTCCCTGCCTCTCGGCCTGACCTTCCTCACAGGGTTGCTGTGCGGATTCAATGAGGATGAGGGGTGAAGAACCACGTTCACCCCCTTGAACTCCGCGGGGCGAAAGGGGAATGATAAATGCAATAAATAAACATTAAATGATGACATTTAGAAAATAAAATGGCTCCCCCCCCCAAAAAAATATATATCACATCAAATATTTAACATCCTGGCTGCAATGAGTGGGGTGGCTTCTCCACACCGCGCCCCCCCCAGCTCCATTTTCTTCCTTTTTTTAATTGGAAAGCTGCTCAGCCTCTCCAATTTAATCAGCTGGAAATAGCCCAGATCGCTTTTCCGTGCTCCGCAGACCATATATCCTTGCCATTCATTCATATTTAGTATTTGTTCCGGGGACATGGATATACGATTTCTCCATCAGCCAAGCGGTCCCGGCTTTGAAACACGTTGCATTTTAATTTTATGCCATCTCGGCTTTCAAACTCAGCCCCCGTTCTATTTTATGCCGTTCCATTTTTATCTCTGGCTTACTGCAAACGTACACTCCAACGCCAAATAAAAAAGAGGGGAGGTTTTGATTTCTCCTGCTCTGCGCTAATCTACCTGTCTAGGTCCTTGCGTGGCCTCCATCACAATGACCCCAGGGCATGAGCAAAAACAACAGCAGCTATGACGGCCCTTGTGACCAGGTCGATTCTGGACAAACCTGTGCACATTGTATCATTGTTTATAGCTGTTTGGCACAACTCTGTGTGTGGCGTAGATTGTATCATTTTAGGGAGTGAAACCTAATTTTTACAAACTTCTTCAGCAAGGGGTCTTAAAAACAGGATTTTTTGGATGTGGGGAATTCAAATCTGCTATTACTTTTGTGACTAGACAATACTCAGCTTGCCTGGTGAAGAAGCACTGCTTTCGGAAAACCAAAGAATTTTAATCGCGCCTTCTGAAAATGTCAGGTACTGGCTAAATAATGACAATGACGAATAAAAATAATATTACTGACTGCAAGTACTTGACAATCGGCTTTAACGATTTCTATGCCATTTTGCACATTTTGCTTAGGA